CGGACAAGCTCTGAGCATACAGTGCTTATTAATATACGTTGGGTAAGGGCAAACCCGTTATATATAATTAACATCTCCCCAACGCAAAAATACATCTTGAAAATCATCTTCCACATCAGTTTTCAGGCGATTCCGACAAACGTTGCCACAAAAATCCATTTTACAAAATTTTCAACCTGGAGGGCACTCAACAGTTGAAGAATACTATACCCCAACAGACTAACACTATTGAAAACAAGTACATACCTGTTATCACTTTTAAACAATAAGTCACTTCCGGGTTCAACCAGAAGGAAGGGTCACTTGATTTGACCGACAGAGACGAATTAAAGACCAAATTTTACTCTGCCTGCTCCGTGGTTGACTGTGGAAGACCTGAGCAGGGTCACCACCAGGATCTGGTGTGGCCCCTGTCTCCTTGGTCTATTGCCAGCCTGGTGAGCCAGCCGGGACTCCCGAGGGAGTGCCCCATCAGACATCTCTCGAGCTGCCCAACTGACATCAAGAGCTTGCCACACCGCCAACAAGGGCTAGCAATGCCCTTCACCTGCCATGGCTGAGAGGAACAGACACAGCACTCCTGCCAGCGTTCCACAGAGCATTAGCCGCCCTTTGACATTGGCCAAAAAGACCACTTCTCCAGAGACCTCCCAGGGTGTTCTCTCTTGCTCAGAGACTGAGGCTCACGGGCCAGGCTCCCCACTAGTGTTTGGGTCTGCCACACCCAGTATATTATTGGGCCACGACACCACAGCACTCAGCCAGTCCCCCTTGGGGACTGCACTGCCCACCGGACTTCTGTGCCATCGGGGCTTCAAACCACTGCAGCCCATATGCAGTTCCGGTTTTCAACTGGGTCTCTCCTGGCCACCAGGTCCCCAGGCCCGTCCTCTCCGGGCTTGTCCCCCTGATACTCGTAGTCCCCAATGACATCGACTGAGAACGATTCCCGGGTGTCCCACCTACGTTTGCCATTTCCACCACCGAGTCACCTGCTAGGAAGAGCAAGCACAAGCACTTGTCTCCCTCATCTTGTACTTCCAAACCAGCCAGGAAACACCGCTCCAATTGGCATGATCAGACTTCTGAGACATGGATGTCGGCTTTTCAATCTATTAATTTGGCCCAACGACAGACCCCCTCCTGCCTCCACCTACTTGGACCAGTCTCTGGCGGACCAGTCGCTTCCACACCCCTTAACTGCAAGTCACCCTGACACTGACCTGGACTCTATACCAGGATCGCTCCAACCGGGCATTCCCCTGCAAGAGCGGTCTATCCCCTACAAGAGTGGTGTATTCCCCACAAGACTGTGCTGGGCTCAGATCTGCATGCAACCCTGTCCCTGACTAGACAACTGGCGGTATTTTCCAAGGAGGAAGACGTAGATTCTATAGGCGCTCTGACTCTGGCCGAGGGCTGTCTCTGTTTTCTTCAATGAGACATGATTCAAATACTTGGCCTACCCACAGCCGCTCCGCTGGAGGAAGACTCTAGTCACGGTTTGTTTAAACGACACTCGGTTCCACTGGAGACTACCGAGTTGATCTTTTCGAGTTAACGCTTGATTGCTCGTGTGTGGTAATGTTTAAAATCCCTTGCTAAAGCCAAGCAATGGTGTGCTCTTCCTAGCCGAGCTGCATCTTGCTACCACTTCCCGGCGGAAGATTTCAAGAATTTCCTGTCGCTTCCAGACCTTCCCAATGCAGCCAAAGACAAGATAATCACAAACTTGGGAAGACCTCGTGGACTTTTCCAAGACAAGGATAAAACCCTGCAGGATGCAACGCTTGCTCGGCCTACCTGCTCCTGCTGTTGGAGTACACTGCCCGTGTATGCAAGGAGAATTCACTGGTCTCCCTGGATTTGTGGCCCTTGCTCTCCTGGGCTTTGACGAGGGACTGAACAGTATATTTGAACAGTTAGCTTGAATTTCCTGTCTATTAACTTTGACGAGAAGATCCAACAACCTTGATGCTATGCATATTCCTCACAAGGGCGTTAAGACTCAACTCCAGCAACTTCCTTTTTTTGGTGAAGACCTTTTCACTGGCAAGTTTGTTGACATGCTGGAGACCGAGGCTAAGCGGATTGATACAGCAAAGAAGATATCCCTCTGCGAAACTCAACCTTCAACGTCGCAGCAACCTTGGCCACGTAGTTCCAGTCGGACTAGGCCTGCAACACACCAAGCCCCCCCCCCGGCATTCCTTGTTTCACCCACCATCCGTACCAACCCCACTGCAAACCAGACTTTTCACAGAAGTGAACGTTCATTGCGCGCCCCCCATTTTTTCAGGGGATGTCACAAATGACTTCTGTTTTGACTTTGGTTACTGCCAATTCTGAACCTGTGGGCGGCCGCCTTCAACAATTGGTAGGGTTCTGGAGAGACATCACCTTGGACGGCTGGGTACTTATGACACTCGCTCACGGATATCTATTTGAGTTTACAAGCACCCTGCAGCCTGAGGTGATTCTACGTCCAACTCCTGTTCCTTGCCATAAGGATCAATGCTTGGCACTGGAGTTGGAGATAAATTCTCTTCTGCAAAAACAAAGGGATAGCATACGAGTTCCAGGCCCTTCTGTTCTATCGACTTCACCCAGAGTTTTCACCTGCATATCCAAGGCTGTTGCGGCCCACTTACGCCAACTCGACATCATGAGTTTCCAGTATCTGGACGACTGGTCGATCGTGGGTTGAACTCAAGCCGAAACTGTCGCTGCAACTCACCTGACTTGT